TACATGTATGGCCAATGGCTTTTTTACAAAAGGGCAAAAATTTGGGTGGAGAAAGGATAGTCTTTTTAACCAATGGTATTCGAAAGTTTGGTGTATATAGTAAAAAAAAAAGAACCTCAACCTAAACTCCACACTTTATACAAAAATCATCTCAAAATAGATCATAAATTTAACTGTAAAATATAATATAAAACTATGAAACTCTTTTAGAAGAAAACATAGAACATTTTTTAGAAGCTAAGACTTGGTAAAAAATTCTTAAACATGACACCAAAAACATGATCCATAAAAGAAAACTCCATAAATTGGATTGCATCAAAAGTAAAAATCCTTGCTTTGTGAATGACTTTGTTAAAAGGACGAAAAGACAAGCTATGGAGGGGGAGAAAATATTTGCAAACCACTTATCTAATTTAAAAAATTATTCTTAGAATATATAAAGAACTCTTACTACTCACCATTATCAAAGCAAATAATCCAATTAGAAAATGGTCATAAAGAGACATTTCACGGAAGAGGATATATAAAAGTTATATAACTATGTGAAAAGATGCTCTGTTTATAACACTGTCCAAAAATGTGAATGGGAGATACCAGCAGAGAAGCCACTTCTTATGTGTGATTTTCATGGGTACATTGGCTGGTAACTCCAGGCCCACACTCTTCTCTGGATGGCCTGGACATATTGGTATCCTAAAATTATTCCAGTTAAAGACTAGGTATCCCAAAAGTCTCCTCTGTATTAGAAAATGACTTAAATGTGTCCAGTGCCCACTTCTGTTTGTTCATTTTGATATGCCCAGGTTCAAGAGTAGATGAACTAGAATTGTTGAATGAATAAGTGACTCCCAGATAAGGATCTATCTCATAGTATTTAACTCCTTTTCTCCCCAGTAGACTCTGGAAGTAGAACATTTTTCCATAATAGTACATAAGGTGCCTATTCATGGGAAGTGTTATGGAAGACTCATCTTCCCATTGCAAAGTAATCTCTTGGAGCCATGATCTATATATATAAAAGTCTAATATGCTAAGTGTCCGACTGAGCAGTTGACTGACTGGTCACTATGACGTGAACTGACCATCACAGGACAGATGCTCCGACTGGTAGGTTAGCTTGCTGCTGGGGTCCGGCCGATCAGGACTGAGTGAAATGGGGCCAGACGCTCCCTGGAGCCCGCCTGCGGTCCCTCCTGTGATCCCTCCCCGGCCACCAGCCTCAATTGGCCCTGATCAGCCCTGATCGCCGGCCAGGTGGAGGGACCCCACCCATGCACGAATTCATGCACTGGGTCTCTAGTACATATATAATGGGAGGGGGTGTAATAAAGGAGCTCAAAAAGGTTGACAGCTTTATGTCTAGAAGCAGGGTGAAAATTACTTTTAAAGTTGTTCAGCACTTTGATTGATGAAGGAAAATAATTGATTTTTTTTTTCTTCAAGAAAACACTGCAGTCCTGGCTGGGTGGCTTGGTTAGTGGAACATCATCCTATGTACCAAAAGGTTGCGGGTTTGATTCCTGGTCAGGGCATATACCTAGATTGTGTTCTATCCCTAGTCAGGGTACATGTGGGAGGCAACGGATCGATGTTACTCTCTCATATTGATGTTTCTCTCTCTCTCACTCTTTCTCTGTCTCTCCCTTCCTCTCTCTCTCTCAAATCAATGAAAACATGTCCTCCAGTGAGGATTAAGAAAAAACAACAACAAACACTTCAGTGAGATTACACCCCACTGAAAATGACAAAATTCTACTCAAAAATGAAGTTTTGAACTCACAACTAACTTCATACTCATTAGTGAAAAACTGAAAGTTTTTCCTCTAACATCAGGAACAAGACAAAGATGCCTACTGTTACCACTTTTATGTAATATAGTATTCGAAGTCCTAGCCAGAGCAATTAGGCAAGATAAAAGGCATCTAAATTGGAAAGGAACAAGTAAAACTGTCACTACTTCAGGTGGCATGATATTATATATAAAAAATCCTGAAGATTCCAGCAAAAACTGTTATAATGAATAACTTAAAACTAATAAATTCAGTTAAGTTGCAGGATACAAAATTAATATAAAGATGCTGCATTTCTATACACTAATAACAAACTATCAGAAAGAAATTAAGAAAACAATCCCATTTACAATTGCATCAAAAAGAATAAAATAACTAGGAATAAATTTAATCAAGGAAGTGAAAGACTGTACACTGAAGACTGTAAGACATTATAAAAAGAAATTGAAGAAGACATAGTAAATGAAAAGATATTTTATGCTCATGGGTTGGAAGAATTAATATTGTTACAATGTTCATATTACCATAAGAAATCTACAGATTCAGTATAAACTCTAAAAAAATTCTAGTAATATTTTCACACAAAACAACAAACAATCCTGAAATATGTGTGGAACCACAAAAGACACCAAGTAACTAAAGCAATCTTGAGAAAGAGCAAAGCTGGAAGCATCACACTTCCTGATTTCTAATTATATTACAAAGCTATATAACCAAAACAGTATGGGCCCTGGCTGGGTAGCTCAGTTGGTTAAAGCATGTCCTGATATGCCAAGGTTGTAGATTTGTTCCCCTATCAGCACATAGATGAATCAACCAGTGAATCCATAAATACATAGAACAACAAATTGATGTTTTACCCCTCTCCTTTCTCTCTCAAAAAATAAATTAATTTAAAAAACCAATATGTTGTTGGCATAAAAAGAAACTCATAGATCAATGGAACAGAATAGAGAGCCCAAAAATAAATCCGCACATGTATAGACAGTTAATTTACAACAGAAGAGCTAAGAATACAATGGGAAAGGGACAGTATCTTCAATAAATTGTGTTGGGAAAATTGGACAGCCACATGCAAAAGAATGAAACTGGACCACTATCTTACACCATACACAAAAATTAACTCAAAATAAATTAAAGATTTGAATGTAAGATCGCGAAAACATTGTAAGAGGAAAACACTGTAAGAGGAATGTAAGATCGCGAAAACAATGTAAGAGGAAAACATTGGTGGTAAACTTCTTGACATCAGCCTTGGCAATGATTTTTTGGATATGACACCAAACACAAAGGCAACAAAAGAAAAGTAAATGAGTGGAGCTATGTCAAATTAAGAAGTTGCTGTACAGCAAAAGTGAAAAGGCAACCTATTTGTCAATCATATATCTGATAAGGGATTAATACCATATGTCTATATATGCTATGTCTTCATTGTGGGCATGATTTCATCCATGTGTGGTTATGATGATGTGATCTGAATTTTCAGTAAATGTTATTTTAAAAAAAAATTTTTCCTTTCACTGAGTCCCAGAGAATGGAGTCTGATTCCTGCTCTGAGGATATTCCTAAAAGTATTCCTGCAGGAACAGAAGTTGTCAGATCAGTTCAAAGGAGAGACATAGCCTACCCAAGTTTCACAGCAGAGCATGTCACATCCCTGGACTCCAGAAATATTAATATTGGCAAAACCCAAATGTGTTCTTTCCACATTGTAACTTTTCCCACATCTGGATAAAAATCTAGAGCCTGGACTTGGCTATGCTTTGAGGAACTAGGGAAGGGCCTGGGTCTCTGCTGGCCTGAGGCAGCACAAAAAGGACAATAACCACCCAGGGAAGGCAGGTAAAGGGTAGCAATAAATCACTATCAGAGTTTTTTTGGGGAGCAGCTGACTGGGACACAAGTGACTACCAACAGGTTATTAGAATGTGTCAGCATTCTTCAGAATCCCCCAAATACAATGGGGGAGAGAAATCAGGTGAAATGGTATTAATTCCTAGAGACAGTCACACACAATGCAGAATGAACCATTGTCACTTGAGCTTTATAGAAAGTGCTGACCACTGAACATGGAGATTTAACATGTTGAGTTACATCTGCTCAATCCTACCACATTGAAACTGGTCCCTCCCTTACCATAGTCTGTCAAAAAAAATTTTTTTTTTTACCATAGTCTATCTTAATGGAGTTCAACCTTCATTTGCTGGAATTTGAGGTTTTACAAACTTTTTATTACTTACTTGACTGTTTATAAATATTTAGCATTATTGCATCTGAGCAAGATTTTGGTTGTGCTAGGACAGTGGTCAGCAAACTCATTACTCAGCAGAGCCAAATATCAACAGTACTTCTTCAAAATAGACTCACCCAGGCCGAAAACTGACTTCTGCACATGGGCCACGAAGTTTCAATCGCACTGTACCTGTGTGCCCGCACATGGTATTTTGTGGAAGAGCCACACTCAAGGGGCCAAAGAGCCGCATGTGGCTCGCGAGCCACAGTTTGCCGACCACTGTGCTAGGAAGTAGCATCCTGCCCATGGAATGAATCTGGGCCTGTATTTTAAGGCTAGCTCTGGTTAAATCATTCAGTTGGTAAATATTTATTAAGCATCTATAATGTGCTAGGCCCACAGTACAGAATAAGATGGCAACCTGCCACTCCATTATGTCAGCATGTAATAGGAGAGAAGATATTTTTATCAATAATGACTACACAACATGAAGATTCATAATAGTGGTCAGTAAGAACACATTGCCTTCCTCATCACTTTTTACTGAAGAAAAAGGCCCATAAGGTAGTGGAGAATGTAGATTGAGTCATGCCTTGGGAGACATGCAGGTTCTACAACTTACTAGAATTCTCTTTGATCTATTTCCTCATATACACAATGGAGGTTTTGTGTGTAGGTTAGTTGGCAAGACAATGACTATAAAATGTTTAACACAGTTCCTGGCATAGAATGAATAATGTTAATTTTATACTTGCTTTGTGCTCTCATCACATAGAAGCATCTACAACCTCCAAAACTCTGTTACCTATAATTGGAGAGGTTCCTTCTGATATTAGTCAATAACTTATTAATTTCAATAAATAAGTAAAGAAAAATAGAAAAGACAAAATTATAGTTTTAGCTTCTATACTGTTATAAAATTAGTATAAACTTCATTTCCTAGCTCTGGCTGATATTAATCAATCATGACTGAAATTTCATCCCAGGAAGATTAGTAAAGAGGAAGTGCTCTGAAAGCTGCTCTAAAAGGAAAAGAAATCTTTTAGGTATGAAGAGAGTAGGGCTATAGAAAGGGCTTGGAAATACTGGAAGTAATAACTTTAAATACACATAAATCATGTTACACATCTGTCATATTTGAAAAGGTGGATGACTTCAACACTGGCCTCTTGACTCTAGGGCAATGAGGGTCTTCTGGTTTTTTTTGTGTGTATGTTTTTTTAAAAATATATTAATTTTTTACAGAGAGGAAGGGAGAGGGATAGAAAGTTAGAAACATTGATGAGAGAGAAACATTGGTCAGCTGCCTCCTGCACCCCCCCCTACTGGGGATGTGCCCGCATCCAAGGTACATGCCCTTGACTGGAATCGAACCTGGGATCCTTTAGTCCGCAGGCCGACGCTCTATCCACTGAGCCAAACCGGTCAGGGCAGGGGGTCTTCTGTTTTATCAGATATAGTTTCTCTCACTCAGTCTAATAACAAAACAGACCTAATAACTATACCAATGGAATCTGAAGAGATGTCTAATCTGAATAGGGTTTTATTTATTTAAAAACTCATTTCATGAATGCACATTAATAGGGCAAACTAGAATAGTCGATTGCATAAACAACTGTCCTCACATAATAGTTGCTACCTGAGATAAAAACCCAAGTGACAGTAATAAGTGCAGGCACATATAGTAGCATATATCAAACAGCTTAGATGAAAGATGGCATGTTCTGAAAAAGTTTCTGGTGATTGCAAAAATTGGCCCAAGACAAAGACATTGATGTCAGAAGATGCATGTGAAGAGTTCAAATGAAATGTTAAAAAGCAAAAGTAGTAAAATATGTACTATATTAAGTAAACAAAACCTTAATTACTGAAATGAATAATAAAAGTGAGAGTAGCCCTCTTCTCATATTAGTTTATTTTCAAACTAAAGAAAATTTTAGTTTCAGCTTCTATACTGTTATAAAATTAGTATAAATTTTGTTTATACTATTATATAATCCTAGTCAGAGCCATGGAGTTATCAATTCCCACTTCACCTTTGTGTCATTGAACCTCTGGTTCCTGTTCAGTGTTTGAAGTGTTTCATATATTTGGCTTCTTCCTTCCACTACTTGTTTTATTCTTTAGCTCCTTTCTCCTACCCCTCCTCCTCCTCCTGCTCCTCCTCCTCCTCCTCTTCCTCTGCCTCTTCTTCCCCTCCTTCCTCTGGGGCAGCCTCTTCTGGAGGCTCCTCTTCTGGAGGCTTCTCTTCTGGAGGCTTCTCTTCTGGAGGCTTCTCTTCTGGAGGCTTCTCTTCTGTGGGCTCTTCTTTTGAAGCTTTACAAAGGATGCATGAGGCAATACTGACAACTGCTAATATTATGAGAAAAAGTATTAAGAATGATAAGATCATGTTGTCTATGATCTTTTCATGTTTGGCAGGATGGCCAGTGGCAGAACCTCCAGCATCTGTTGGCTGTTCATCAGGTGGCAAACCAGGGGGACCACTGTCCACACTACCCCCTTGTCCTAAGGTTTTGCAGTCAGGGGGTGCATAGCCATACTTACAATGGCAGTGCTTCAAATTGTTGCAAACTCCTTTCCGATCACACATTGCTTCTACATCGCAGTCATACTTGAGCACAGCATCATCAGTGCAGGATGCATTTGCGCAGATTTTCCCTTTGGAACAAGTAGTGCCATATTTCACATTTCCTTCATCATCTTTATCTTCATTGACATAGAAATTCATGGACCAGCAGTAGTTTTCAGGAGAAGGAATCTGGATCACTGTATGATAGGGTTTGATGATTGGCATCTGTCTAATACCTGAACATATAATTTTCCCACACCGCATATTCTCTGTTGTACACTTAACATACTCTTTGTTAGCAGAAGTAGGAAGGCCACAGTTTCCAAACCGGTCCCCTAGCTTGTTTACCAATTCATAACAATTATCTTCAGCAGAAGTTGAAAAGGTCCCAAAATATTCTTGGCATTGATGATTAGGGTTCTTACACTCACCTTGTACACAGTAATATCCTAGACATGGTGTACCATCTTGCATGTAGAGGTTTTCGGGACATTTTGCAGAGGTACCATCACAATACTCTGGGAGGTCACACTCTCCCGAAGCAGGACGACAACTGAAGCCCTTTTCTTGAAATTGGCACGTATCTTTACAACAAGGTCCTGGACTACACTTTGCATCAGCCTTCAGCATACATGTACTGTCACAGCACTTGTTTGTGGCACAGTTACTACCACAGTCACACTGCTCACCGTCATCCACCACACCATTTCCACAATTGGCATCTCTGCGCAAGCGGCCTTTGTGCCGCTGAGGGTTGTTAAATAGGCAGGCCCCTCTGTGTTCCTGGAGGAACTGGTAGAAGTCGTCAGAGCTACAGTTGCTGAAGCCACTTTCTTTAGTGATATTGTCCTGCATGAGGCAGAGGGGTTTGTCTCTACAAATGCAGGCTGAGTGGTCGTGCCGAATACCCAAGTTGTGCCCAAGCTCATGGACCATGAGCGCTGCAAACAGCAGGACATCTTCATGATGGAAGGATTCAACAGCTGCTGCAAAACCACTTGAACAGGCACCATTGAGAAATGCCTGTCCCATACCCTGTGCAGGATGCTGTCCGACAATCATGTGGGCAACATCATGCTTCACACGATGGAGGAGCTTCTCTTGTCTCCAGCTGTTGAAATTCCCGAGTGTAACTTGCAGGTCCACTGGGACCTCTATGAGGTCCCCCTCGGTCCAAATCTCCATTCCAGCCAGCACCACCTCTGTGTTTATTCCCCTAGTGAAGCTGTTGGCCAGGGCAATGATGTGCATCACTCTCTGGACCGTCTCATTGACGTTACTGCCCCACATTTGGAACCGCTGGTTGTTGACCACAACAAACATCTCCACATACTTGGTGAGTGACCACAAGTAGGACAGCTCCTGTAGACCGCCAGGCTTCCTGCTCCCTTGTTGTCGGCTGGTGGACACCACTGTGCTGTCTTTGGAAGTGACACTGCAGGAGACTGGAGCTTGATGGGCCATGGTGTACAACACATGTTCAAACCGTTTTGAAGAGTCCATGGGCTCAATGCCATAGGATTTCCCCTCCTTAATCAGGATGCCCCTGAGGCCTGAACAGGTGTTGACAGAAACAAAAGAACCCGGGAGTCCTTCTATGTAGCCTTCATAGTGACAGTCATGTGAGATGAAAGGCATTTCTTGTCCCAGGATGCCATTGTGGTAGCTGAAGACTGGAAAAAGTTCTTGAAAATAGTCTGTCTTCACTTTCAGGTGAATCAGCTCTTTCTGGCCCTGCATAGATATCACATAAGATGCCTCTTCCCCTGGGTCTTGCCTTCCCTCAACTGTCAGAGCCTTGGGGATGACTATCTCATAGGATGAGTAATATGCTGATCCCAGGTCACTACAGAAGCTTGGCAGGAAAGTCAGTACCAACACCAGCACAATCCCCAACCTGACACGTGAAGATTCTGGCATCAGTACCAGCACCAGGCCCTTCATCTGGGGAGCCCAAGTCTGAAGCACTCTGCCAGTCTCATACATAACCACTTGGTTCTTCTGTAGAGAAGGCAAGGAGGAGGCAGTCTCTCTCACAAAGGCAGCCACTGACATGGCCCCAGTGAATCAGTGGCTGATGCAGGGCCTCTGTCCTTGAGCAGCAGCGCTCCTTGAGGTGCAGACCCTTAGCCACTGGGATTAGTTCCAGGTATATGCTGGCTGCATAAAGGCTGGGTACTACTCCTTCTGATAGCAACTGCCTACCTCTGGCTGTGTCTTTTCTAATCTCTCTGACCTCTCTGTTGTCCTTCAGATAGTGTCCATATTGCAGCTTCCTTCCACAATATTAGCTTCAGTGATCCTTGGCTATAGTCCTTTGATATTGTGTTGATGTAATCACAAAGAAGGACTACAAACTCTAAAATGCAAGATTTTACCTTAAGAAGGAAATAAAACCTTCGTGCCTTCCTCAACTGTGCCACACGGAACACACACCCCCCCCCCACACCCCTCCTGTGTCGGTTGCTCGGCCAACTCCTAATGTTCTAGACCAGGGGGCTTGAAGATCATTGGTGGGCATACTCCATTGCCCATTTCGCCTCATCTAAAACTCTTGCTCTGTAACACATGGGTATCAAACTCATGATGTTCTTGATTCTTCAATGAGGCTTTATAGTAATATGCACATGCCTCAGGCCAGTCGGTTAGATAGGCAAGGGGGTGGCTGTCCTGTACCCCAGGGTAGACCCAAATGGGCTGAAGACCATGAGGCAAGGGACAATACTCCGATTTTTTAAACTCATCAAAATTTAGTCTCTCAAGTTCTGTTTATAACATTGCCAAAAAGGAGATGCCAACAGAGCAGCCTTCACTTATGTGTGATTTTCATAGGTATGTTGACTGGTAACTCCAGGCCCTTCTCTGGATGACCGAGACATATCGATACCATAAAATTATGCCAGTTGAAGACTAGGTATCCCCTTTTTTAGAAAGTGACCTACATGTGTCCAGTGCCCTCTTCTGTTTAATCCTTAGATGCCCAGGTTAAAAAGTAGATGAACTAGAATTACTTATTGAATGAATAAATGATTCCCAGGTAAGGGTGCTGTCATGTATCATCTGTTGTAGTTATTTGTTTGTGCTCTCTTCATGCCTGCCTTGAAAGAATCAAAGTGTCTCTAGAAAAACCCACAACTATGTGGACAAATGGCACATTCATGATCTCAAAATGTACTTCCCTCTTCCTACATTTTGCTGGCCAGTTCACTTTCCTAATGTCTCCGTGCCTCATATTTTATTGAGGAAAAATAAAACCAATAAAGAGTACTTTCACATGGAGACACCACTTGAGTCGCTTGTATCTAAATTTTCCTCTGACTCTGGGGGATAAATTGACCGTACTCCAATCTAAGGCCAATCCTCCTACTTGTGTGTGGGGTCTACTTCCCTTTCAATTTCTCATGGACTTCACTTTTCCAATTGTCCTTTCTTTTTTTTTATAAGTTTCTTAAAAATATATATATTATTGATTTTTTTTACAGAGAGGAAGGGAGAGGGATAGAGAGAAACATCATTGAGAGAGAAACATTGATCAGCTGCCTCCTGCACAATCCTTACTGGGGATGTGCCCGCAACCAAGGTACATGCCCTTGACTGGAATCAAACCTGGGACCCTTCAGTCCACAGGCTGATGCTCTATTCACTGAGCCAAACTGGTTATGGCTCGCTTCTGTCTTTTATTTCTGAAACATCTATTTGTCCCTTGGATCCAATCTCATTATATGCAGTAATGTTTCATCTTTATCAAACCATAACTCTCAGCCCATGTCACTCTCCAGTCACCATCCAAAATCCTTTGAATCATAGCACAGTCACAAAATGTGAGTAAAACATATTTTTCAATAAATTATTTGGAAGAGAACAGCTCAATCACACACAAAAGGACACATGTGATATGACTTAATTTATATGAGATTCCTCAAGTAATCAAGTTCGTAGAGATAGAAAGTGAAGTGAAGGTTACAGGAGCTGGGAAAAGAGTAATAGGACTGGTTAATGAAGACAGTTTCAGTTTGAGATGATGAAAAAGTTCTGGAAGTGGATGTTGATGTTGGTTGCACAACCATGTAAATGTACTTAATGCCACTGAGCTGTACACTTAGAAATGGTAAAGAGGGTTAATTTTATCTTATAAATATTGGAGAGAGGGAAAGAGGAAAGAGAAAGCTGTGTAAGTACAACTCTGATCAAGTAATCAACAGTTTTAGCTCCATAGAAGTCACCCATGTACCATTGCCAGTCACAAATCCTCCTGCTTCAAAGATAATCATGACCCTTTCTTTTATGGTATCTACTTTGTCACTTTTCTTTCTCAATTTGCTTCCTAAACATGCACTGCAGAATTTTGTAATTTTATTTTATTTTATTTTTAATCACATCTTTATTGAGATACCGTAATTCACATACCTTACATAATTCACATACCTTAACATTCATCCTTTAAAGCAGGGGTCCTCAAACTACAGCCCGCGGGCCACATGCAAATACAAATATTGTATTTGTTCCCATTTTGTTTTTTTACTTCAAAATAAGATATGTGCAGTGTGCATAGGAATTTGTTCATAGTTTTTTTTAAACTATAGTCCGGCCCTCCAACGGTCTGAGGGACAGTGAACTGGCCCCCTGTTTAAAAAGTTTGAGGACCCCTGCTTTAAAGTGTACATGTCGGTGGTTTGTACTGTGTTCAGAAACTTATGTAACTGTCACCAAATCAATTTTAGAACATTTTCTCACCCCCAAGGAAAATTCTAGTATCTATTAGCATTCCTCCCCATCCTCCCCTCCCCACAGTTCATGGCTCCCACCACTCTACTCTCTAGCTCAATGATTTTGTTTATTCTGGACACTTCATAGCAGTGGAATCCTACATGTGGTAATTTTCTGTGACTGGCAAATTTCACCTAGCATAATGTTTCCAAGGATCAGCCATGTGGTAGATTATGTCAAAACTTCCTTTCCTTTGGCCAAATAATGTTCTTTTTGTGTGCATATACCACATTTTTTATTAGATACATCAGCTGATGAAAATTTTGGTTATTTCTACTTTGGGACTATTGTGAATAATATTGCTATGGACATTTGAGTACAAGTTTTTGCATGGACATATGTTTGCATTTCTCTTAGGTAGATACTTAGGAGTGGAATGTTTGGTCATGTGAGAACTCTACATTTATCCTCTGGAGGAATTGGCCAACTATTTCCAAAGCATCTACACAATTTCACATTCCTGCCAGCAATGAGTAAGGATTTCATTTTCTTATCATCATCACTAATATTTGTACCCCAATCAGGTATCAAACTCGCAACCTGGGTATGTACTCTGACTGGGAATCAAACCTGAAACCTTTTTGGTATAAGGGATGATGTTCCAACAAATTGAGTAACCTGGTCAGAGCAAGAAGTATTTCATTTTTTCTTTTAATTTACATTACTGAATTAAATAAATTTTTATAAGATACAAAAGTTATCTATTTTTAAGGGTTCACTTAGTGAGTGGCATTAAGTGCATTCATAATGTTGTGCTACCTTCACTGCTAGCCATCTTCAGACTCTTCTTTTTGTAAAACTCAAACTCTGTATTCATTAATCTATAAATCCCCATGGCTTCCTTCTCCCCTACCCTAGGAGCTGTCATTCTACATCTGTCTCTATAATTTTGACTACTCTGAGTACCTCATACAGTGGAATCATACAGTATTGGTCTTCATGTGACTGGCTGATTTCACTTAGCACAGTGTCCTCAAGGTTCATTCATGTTGTTATATATTGTTATATATTGTAAAATTTCCTTTCTTTTAAGTGGTGAAAACATTCCATTGTATGTACATACCATACTTTGCTCCATCCACTCATTTGTCAATGGATACTTTATTGTTTTTGTTTAGTTTTTAAATTAATAAACTTGATAGTTCTATGATTTGATTAATATCCATACTTCCCAAGAAGTTGATCTTGACTGTACTAGTATTTGCTTCTATGGAACAGGAAATTTTTGGAGGATGTTATTTTAACATTTTGGAAGTGATTTTCATTTTATCATTTACCTTCCTCTGAATCCATATGGATGTCATGTTTATATATGACCTCTTTACTCTACCCAGTACTTACATTTACTTACTGATTTTGTGTGCTGCTACATTTCATTCCTTTCCATTGCTCTATACTGTGGATTTACCCAATTTAACATCCATTATATGTGAACACAGGGCTCTTTTCTTTTGCAGTACTTGGAAGATCAGCGATTCTCTACCTGTGGGTCGCGGCCCCTTTGGGGGTCAAACGACCCTTTCACAGGGGTTGCCTAAGACCATCGGAAAACACATATATAATTACATATTGTTTTTGTGATTAATCACTATGCTTTAATTATGTTCAATTTGTAACAATGAAAATACATCCTGCATATCAGATATTTACATTACGATTCATAACAGTAGCAAAATTACAGTTATGAAGTAGCAACAAAAATAATTTTATGATTGGGGGTCACCACAACATGAGGAACTGTATTAAAGGGCATTAGGAAGGTTGAGAACCACTGCTGAAGAGGGCTTCAGTGACTATTATTGTCCAGTAACATGTTACAAATAACTAGACATTTCCATGGGTTTTCTCTAAGACAGGGGTCATGTCTGCAGTATGTATACAGCCCGTGAAATCATTTGGTCTGGTCCTGCCAAAGCATTAGGGGTGAGTTGACTAAATGCTTGACCAAGTATAGCAGGCTAGTTTTAAAGTTGATAATTTTGTATGGCCTGGGATTGTTGTTATAAATATCTAAATGGCCCTTGGCAGAAATCGTGTTCCGCACCCCTGGCCTAAGAGTAAAATAGCTTAGTGATAAGGTACTTGAGACTTTAATTGGACTAGGAAATAAAAAGTGCTATTTCAAAGTGGCATACCAGTTTGCATTATGAGAGTGCCCACTGTTCCACAGTAATACTTGGAATTATCAATCTTATATTGCCCATCTTGTGGGTACATAGTGATATGCCCTTGTGGCTATATAACCTTCTTTCCTCTGAATATTCATGAGGTTGAACACCTTCAGAAATGTGTTTTGACTCATCTTTTATATTTTAACTCCACTAGAATGAGCTTTCATCCCCACCCATCCTTCTAACCAGCTCCATTCCGGGTTGCCAATGAATAACCCTCTACTGTGACATCAAATGATCAACATTTACTCCTCCCTTTATGGTCCTACCAGCAACATTGAACAGATAATGGATATATTCTAATTTACCTTTTAAAAGGATCACTCTGCCTGCTGAGTTCAAAAGAGGCCATTGTGGGAGCCAGTGAGGAAGCAGAGACCCCCTTTAAAGAATTCTGCAGTTGTCTACCATGGAGTTGATGGTGACTTGCAGTGCATTGGAGAGTTGGTGGTGGTGAACAGAGGTCACATTCTAGATATATTTGGAAGGTAGAATCAAGAGAATCTGTGGATGGACTGGATTTGAAGTATATAACTCTTCTGAAAACACTTTATTCTCTTGGTTTTCAGGACAACACTCTCTTGGTGGTACTCCAACCACACCGGCCACACTCTGTCTTCCACTTCTTTCCTGAATGCTTCTCATCCCATCAACATCTACACATGGAATGCTATGAAGCTAAGTCCTCACTCCATTCTGGGATCTGTTCCCTTACCTAGCTATACTTGCTGCCTAGGCAGTCTCACCCAGTCCCATGGCTTGGAATGTCATCTATAAGCTGACAACTCACAAATATACATCTCTAGCTGACTTCTCTCCTAATTACAGACACAGTCATCATGCTGCATAGCTGAAGAGCCAACTTGGGTGTTTAATAGGCATCTCAACCTGAACAGGTTCCATCCCTGCTCTTTCCACATGCATCCCCATCTCAGTAAATGGCAAGGGTATTCACGCAGTTACTCAGAGCAGAGCTACTGCAAAGACATCCTTCTTTACTACCTTCCTCTCACACTTTACATCTGTTTCATCAGCAAATCCTTTTAGCTCGACCTCATAATATCCCCAGATCAACCCTGTCTCACCACCAGCACTTCACCCACTCTCCCACAAGCTTCCAGAACACAGCTTGACACATTTCAGGAGGTCTCTGTTTCTGCAGTTGCCCTTGCCTGTTGTTTACTTACTTAGCAGATGGAGTGGTCCTTCAATCCATTTCAGCTCTGGTCACTTCACACCTATTCAGGTCAGGTTTATAATTTTTTAAATTTTCAATGGATCAGAGAGACTTTGTCTTGTTTACTACTATTTCCGTAGAACTAGAACAATTCATAGGTACATACTCATTAGCGGTGGAATGAATAGATGAACGGATGAATGGATGGATGGATGGATGGATGGATGGATGGATGATGAGGAGTGGCAAATGTATCTGTTCATTACTTCACTTAGTCGTCTATAAAAAGCATCAAGCTTAGGCAGAAAGGCCTGGAATGTGCAAGACCTGCCCTGAATCATATCCACGTAAGGACTG